ATTAGGAATTTGGTATCCATTTTTCTAAAAACAAAATGGCTGATCTAATATGGCGGACATTTGTCGTTCAGCTTTAACGATTTGGATAAAATTTTGTATAAAGATATTTTTGGGGTAGCTGATTATGAGTTTTATATAATTTTTTTTAACAAAATTGCGGATTCAAAATGGCAGATATCTGTGCGCAATAAATACTAGATGACTGTACCTATGCGCAGTGGTTACCAGATGACTGTACCTATGCGCAGTAGTTATTAGATTACCGTACCTATGCGCAGTAGTTTTCAGATGGTTTCATCTACGCGCAGTAGTAAGGTGCACTTTCGGCGTAAAAAGATTTACTTTTACACAATTTTTTTTATTTCGTGTTTAAATTTCTACAGAAAAAAGTTTTGTACCAATTTTATCCAAAATATTTTTTGTGTTTTAGTTTTATAGCTACTTCGAGAGAAGAGTATTCTCGTCGAGACGTGGACCCATTTTCTCTCCCTGTACGAGACGAGACAAAAGAAACACTTCTCTTCTTTTCTCGTTTCGCGACATCACTACGCAACGTCAACAAAAATTAAGTCTAATTATCGGCGCACCAGACCCGTTTTTTGTTTTTTTTTTACCTTAGCGGTGTTTTTATATCGGTTTTTATTCTGGCGACTGTTTAACTAAAATAAAAATGAATTAGTCCAAAGAAAAAAAATTCGACTATTTTTCAGTTGGTCCCATTTTTGACACTTTTTGGAGGGTAGGGAAGTTATTATCAGAGATAAGAGCTTTGCGGTTTTAACTTCAATGTCCTATTTTTTTCACGAAACAAAAGATCCCGGTGTCAAATTTGCCATAGCCTTCTTAATTCGTATTCTACAGAGTAATACTAAAAATTACCAGTGGTATGGAATGTGCGCAGAGAATTAAAAAAAAGTTTCATGGCTTGTAAAATCCTCATATATTTTTGAGAGGTTCTGACACTGATTTTCTTTCGTTTAAAGAAAGGTTTTTGAAAAAAATCAACATGCTTCTTCTAATTAATAGCCGTGAATATTTTTTTTTTGAACGCCAAAAACAAATAAACAGGACATTTCGATAATTAGAATTAATTACTAAATGACGACATAAAAAAATGAGCTGCAAAAAAAGTACCCACCTACATTTGACACCAAGTTATGATTTCTATTTACGTCGATTTTTTTATTTTTTTATTAGAAAATGGAAGTTCCTCAGGAAGTTTACGAATCGAGTAGTGTTAAAGAAGTTTTAACTAAATTAAATAATCCATTTTACTTACCGGATTATATAATTCAACTTCTAAACTTATATGGATTTGACAATATTACAAGTCTATCCATGTTTGTAAATGAAGATTTTGAAAAATTAGAAGAATTTGCAAAGTGTGATCTTTCAAAACTACTTAATGATGAAGAAAAGAAAAAAATCTTTGGTTTATATGCAAGAAATATTATAATAGAACTATTTAAAATTGTGGAAGGTCATAGAAGATTAATATCGGCTTTAGCAGAAAAATGTAAAGATTACTTAAAATGTAACTCTAAATTAAATGTAGAATTAAGAGGTTCTTCTAAGCAAAAAAGACAAAATTCTAGTTCAAACCCACTTAATAAAAAATTAAAATTAATAAATAATAATTCTACATCAGATACAAATTTAAGTTTTAAATCAATGAGTCAACAAGCATCAACCTCGGCATTAACTGATATAACAAATTTTACAGACGGCACTTCAGAAGACATTATTGACCACTCGATTGAACATATCAAAAAATTGTAATGTTGTATCAAACAAAATTTTTAAATTCGTTAGCTAATGATAAGCAACGAAAAGAAGGTTTAGCCTTGTTAAGAAATCTTAAGGTTAAAAATTGGTATAGTTTTACATTTTGATCTTTTAAATTGGAATTTTGTAATTAATGTAAAAATCAGTACTTATAAAAAAATCAATAAATATTCTTATGAGAAATTAAATGCTTTACAAAAAAAGCCTCTCAACATTTTTGGCTAAATTCACTCAATCAAAAGTTATTCAGGGTTAAAATTTCGTTTTGACTTCAAATTTAACCTTGAATTTGATTTCCCATAAGTTTTTTTTTTCTGGGTATTGATTTTTACATGAAATACAAAATTCCAAAGTTAAAAGATCAAAATGTAAAACTATAACAATTTTTAAGGCATGATTTTAAGGAAACGGTTCATCTGACAGAAAATTTCGTTTTTACCTTTTTTGTAGAGCATTACTTTTATAAAACTACTTAAAAGGTTAAAATTAAAATAATAAAAATATTTAAACAGTATAATGGTTTTTCTAGACTTGCTAACTGACTTTTTCCTTCCTTTTTTTGCTTTAGTGAGTTTAAGAAACTGAATACCTTTATGCTTAAAAAATAAGGTACTTAGGTAGATTTTGTACAATTAGAGGGGATTGTCCATGTCACATTATATCATCTTGCGACATGGACGTCATATAGACTCTTTTTGCACAAATTAACTACCGAATCAAGCTAGCAATCATGTCTACAATTCAACCCTACCCAACGAAAATCGTCTCACAATCCCATTGCAGCCCTGCAATCACTAATTTCATGTCGCAATCCTCCAAAATCCCAACAATTTATAAAGAATTCTCCGAAATCACCGCAATCATTCCGAAATCATGGGATTTCGGTCGCAATCCTCCGAAATCGCAACAATTTATAAAGAATTCTCCGCAATCATTCCGAAATCATGGGATTTCGGTCGCAATCCTCCGAAATCGCAACAATTTATAAAGATTTCTCCGAAATCACCGCAATCATTCCGAAATCATGGGATTTCCGCAATACGTGTACATATTTTTTGGAGGTGGTTTCCCCCTCGGGTCACCCACACCGGGGAAACCCTGGACATTTTAGAGGGGGAATAACATAGGAATACAATGGAAATACATAGGAATTAGGGATGTCAATCCCGGGAGCCCGAAGAAAAAACCTGTCTCGAAAATACCGGGACAAGATTACCTAATCCCGGGATTAATACCGATTTTTTATGCATATATTAATTACCTTACTTACACTATTTCAAAGTAATTAACGCGAAAGCCGACAACGTTGCAACCTGCAATCCGAAAACAAGACGCACACTTAAACCGGAATTTGGGGATTCACCGCGGCACAATAATTATAATTTACTCGCTTAGATTAGATGTGCCCTCTGTGATTAGATGTTGTATTGATTATTTTATTCAAAGAAGAAGAATTTGTTAGTTATTGTGTAAAATGGATCTAACGTGCCAAGAGGCTAATAAAGAAAAAGATAATGCACGAATTTTGGATATGTTGTAGTTTATGATCTATTGATAAAAAGTTCTTCTGGTACTAAGAAAAAATAATATTTTTAAAATATTGAACAGATTTCGAGCTATTGGGGTTAGAAGGTCACGAATCTGAGAGATGTTTTTCTTCTGCAGGATTTTTATGTATCAAAATACGTTCGAGGCTGGGAGATGAAACTTTAGACGCACTAATATTTTTGCGGTATTTTTAAAAAAATGTATAATCCTTTAAGTACGTTTAAAAGTTTTTTTGTTAATTTTCCTTTTTTACAATAAAAGTTTTTGAATGTTATTTGATTTTTTTTGGAACATCCAATCCCAGGATTAAATCCCGGGATCCCGGGATTAGTAGTACAAAAACGTAGTAGTACAAAAACGAAAACCTTTCGGGATTGACATCCCTAATAGGAATACAATAAAATATAATGGGAATACATGGGAATCCCTGGACGTTTTCCCTTTGGTAGGTTGACCCCTCGGAAAAAATAGCTTTTTAAAATTTATTTCGCCTGCATACTATGTAGAACTTTTTTTTTTGATAAACAATCACTAGTCCTTTTTTAGCATTAAATTACCTACAAAAAATCTTACATAGTCCAGTTTGTAGATTGTACTCTTTCTTTTTTATTAATGTTTAAACTTATAAATTGTAGTTGTACTTAGTATGCAGGCGAAATATATCTTAAAAAACTATTTTTCCTTGTTAAATCAACGGGAAAATTTTAAATTTGATTTGACCTTTTAAAATTAATATTACAGGCTGGACTCTGTAAGATTTTTTGTAGATAATTTAATGATAAAAAAGGACCAGTGATTGTTTATAAAAAAAGAGTTTTACATAGCATGCAGTCGAAATAAATCTTAAAAAACTATATTTCCATGTTAAATCAATGGAAAAACTTTAAATTCGATCATGGACCTTTTAATTAAAATTAATATTAAGAGCTCAAATTTTGACAGAATTTTTTTTTAGCGTAAGTTACGAGAATTTCACATGAATTTGAAAAAAAGAAAAATATTGCCTTAATTTGTAACACCCTAATATTTATTGTACCGTACAATTTGTACGACTAGTGGAAGAAAGAGGGGATTCCTTGACCGTGGAGTTTAGCAAAAGAGCGTAGCGAGTGCCGCACTCGGAGTGCGGTAACACTAGGGTTGCCAGCTTCAGCTCACAGATGACCCAGAGATATACAGTAGATATGTCCACGGATTGGATTACAAAGAGGGAAAAAATAGAACATTATCTAACAGGCGGAGAAAGCGCTTATTTTTGGTCGAGCTGTGTTCGCTACCGAGGCCTTAGCCGAGGCTGCAGATCTGAGCGAGGCAGTTAATATGCTTCTGCGCCGTGTTGTATTTTTTTTTCAAGGGTTTAATAATAATTATTAAAAATTATTCTGTACTTACATTGCAAGTTGAGAAATAAAATGGGTGTTGAATAATAAGTATTTAACTAACTAGTGCGGAAAGAGGTAATTTTCCACAAGCGACTGCCATTGAACAAACGAGTTTGGTAAGTTGAGTGCGGAAAATACACTTTCTGCGCGTGTTAGGTAAAATATTTTTTTACCAGCATGGGAATCTCGCAATTTTCCAATTGTAGAAAAAATTGTTTTTTCTACAAGTGTGCGGAAAAGTGCAAGTTTCCGCACGTTTGTAGAAAAAATAACTTTTAAACTTACTTTGATAATTTGTGTCATTTAGTGGCTCAGTTTCCTTGCCATTTCCCTCCACAGTAGAAGGTTCAATATTGATAAAACTTTCCCTGGCCAACAAAGTCAGCATCATACTGATATCCTCCACCTTCTCCTGCTTCAATTTCTCCTCCTTTGCGTAACTCTTATCGATGTTATAGTCTTTGCCAGGATTCCTTACAATTTCGACCCGCAGGATCCCATCCCGCGGCCACGTATCCTGAACATGCTTCAAACATGTCGTCGGTGTCTTGCTGAACGCCACATGTATGTACACTAGCACAAAAAATGCAGAAACCGCCTTTATTAAAATCACAAACTCGATAAATCGCCTGACAGGCCGCGGAAATGTTCTGGCGTAAGCTACGGCAGCACGAAAAAAAAGAGTGTGAAAAAGTCTATCCCGAACATTAAACAAAGGGTTTTGGTTGTTGTTGTTGCGGAACCAGTTTGTGTTCACCACTCGGCCTGTTACAACGTGATTGTTTTCTGGGATTGGACCCTCTACAGGGTTCTGGCCATTGGTGGACATTATTGAGATTTCCTGGGTGTGTATGGGGACATTCTGCAAAAAAAAACATGTTATGCTCTAAGGTTGCAAGGTGCATGTTTTATATACTCAGGACTTTCTAACCAGTGGCGCACGCCTCCCTAGGGGAATGAAAAGAGATCATGTTTTTGAACATTCCAATGAAAAATCTATTTAAATTCTTAAATCCAGTCTGTAATTCATTAATTAGCTTGTTGTTTAACAATGAAAAAAAAAGGAGGCATAAATATTTTTTTATAATCTATAGCCTATAGGCTCGATGCAAAAAAAGGTTAGGAATCCCTGCTCTAAGGTAACGGGATTCCTGTATTGTATGCTCTCAGGTTTATCCATGTTTTATATACTCTAATGTATGGCCTTCTTACTACCCAACTTATTAGTACAACTCAAAAGTACAAAACAGATTTTTGAGATAAAATTGTAATTTTGTTTTGTATCAAATTCCGCCAATAAAGACACTCATTTATTTGTCTAAACAATATGTTAAGCTCCTTCCTATTTATATAACCTATCAGTTATGTTTGTCTAAAAAAATTGGGGCAACTTTCTATATGGAAAAAAACATTTTTGGACTATTAAAATTAACAAATACGACTTTCAGTTGTTTAATGAAGTGGACATTTGGTCGATTATAAAAAAATGACGTATTTAATATAATAAAAAACTACCTTTTATGTTAAAGGGTGTTAAACCATGCTATATTCCTTTAATGATTCACAATAACCTAATTTTAAACCTCACAAAAAACATGATATAGCATAAAAAGTCTATTTATTTACAAAAAATCCATTTTCACGAAAAATCACAGATTCGAACCTTTAAATAACTTCACAACTGACAGCTGATCTGGCAGTAAACTTCACTTAATTTTAGTGGCGCCATCTACATTTTATCGTATAACTATAGGAATCTATAATGTCGAGGGGTTCAAAAACAATATATGTTTTTTTAAATGTTTTATTAAATACATAAAATATCCCATTATAATATTAATTACCCATCCCTAATCGTGTCAATATAAAATTTTCAATCACAGATTGGGCTAAAACAAAAAAAAATTAAATTTCTTTACTTAAAATACTTTTTTTTTACCTAAATTACTATTGTTTTGTACAGAAATATCATGCGCAGTTTCATCATTTAAATTAACCAAGGAAAATTCCGCACCATGTAGTAACAATTCTTGACAGGTGTGTGGATGGTTGCCTTTAGCTGCATACATTAAAGCTGAATTACACAACTAAAAAATATCAAATTTTGCATTTTTAAGGTTATAAATTTGTCAGCTGGTTTTAACAATCGTATATTTTCGTTATATGTATAGAAATAATAGTAGTATTATTTCTATGGTTATATGGTTTAAATGTAAACAGTCCTTACATGATCCACATGGTTTATTTCGGCCCCAAAACGGATTAAAAGCCTGACGATTTCGTGGTGGCCCCCATTAGCTGCTAATATAAGAGGCGTTTCTTCTTCAGGGCCTAATCTGTTGACATTAGCATTGTGGTTTAATAATAATTCCACAGTGTTGTATTGGCCATAGGCGCTAGACCAGTGTAGTAATGTTAAACCGTTGTTGTCAGGCTCTTCTATGTTTTTGTTTTTAACATCTTCCTCATTAATTTCTCCTTGTCCAGCTCTTGTGTATAAATTTACTTCTTCTAGTTGAGGTAAGGGAGTTTCAGCCTGGGTGTTACCTCTTTGTAGGTTTGTTAACACAGTGTTAAATGTGCAGGATTGTTTATATGGTAAAAAAGCACTTTTTCTATTGGAGTCCTGTAAGGAACCTAAACCCCACTTTTTAGGACTGCTGGGGAATTCTGGCAAATTATACGGAGTTGGCGACGTTAAAACAATCGGTTTTATGTCAATTTCTTCATTGGAGGAGTCTTGAAAGTCTTCCATTGTTTTAAATTAAATCTTTTAATAGTAATTTGCTTATTACCTATTTATTTAAATTCACAGTTCAACATGACGTTTTACATTCATTGTCTCACTTTAACGCGCTAAAAATCGCATCTTCCCTCTCACAAACACTTAAAGGTTGCAAAATGTAGTTACACGATTTTAAGTGGATCATAAAAACGCATTATTTTAGTTTGTATTACGAATAAAAATGGATCAACTAATAAATTTAAACAATCAAACAGCTGGACGCGACAAAATTGCCAGGTATGTGGCTTTTTTACTAATTTACTTCACACATAACCTAACTTATACGTTTTTTAGATTGTTACAGTATTTGAGCAGATTTTTATGGCACAGATTGCAGAAGAACAATAGCACAAGTGTAAATAATATTAAAAATTTGGAATACCAACTCAGCACTTTCAGAAAACGTAAGTAAAGTATTTTGACAAACATAACCTACCTTTCTGTTTTTTTAGTTTTACGATTCGGTAGAAGTATCGACTCGATCTATGCTACTCTACCATTATTGCACCATGACAATTCTACAGTACGCTATACTTTGGTTCTGAGCAAAATCTGTAACTCTTTATTTTTACTAGCTGATCATGTACTTTGGTTGGGTCGTGCCGATTTAGTCAACATAAAAATCGAAAAATGGAGCAATATGTCCAATAAATATTGGCTCTTTTCTATAACCATGAATTTAGTAAGGGATTTCCATGAAATCTCGCTAATAATAAACAATTCAAAATGCTTGATTTTACCTAAAGGGGGGGTACAAAATATTGGTGATATTTTTTCTGCTGTTGTAAAAAGTTTAACAATATTAAGTGGTAATAAGAGTGTTTGCATTGATACAATAAAAAATGGTTGTGATATTTTTATTCCTTTGGTTGCTTTAGGGCATGTCAAGTTTTCCCCAGGTACCATAGGGTTGTTAGGGGCTATTTCATCGATAGCAGGGTTGATGGTTCTTTTGGAACCAAGAAATAAATTATCCCCTGCATAAATAAGACTTATTTTATGTTATTTTTGTATTTTTTACTCAGTGACTGGGGTATTTTTGGAAGTTGGTGATTGTATTATCTATAGGTAATAAAGTTTACTACAAGCTGTTTTAAACTGTTTTATTTAATAATAAAATATACAGAGTTTTTCACATTTGTGATCCATTGGAAGTTTCTGGGGAACGAAAAAAGATGTCGATTTGAAATTTTAAAAGTGTTTTTTATTTCAAATAGAAATAGTATTTAAAAAAGTATAAATACTAAAATTACTATACAATTTTACAGTTAAAATACGATTTTTTTATAAAACAGAATAAAAATTTAAAAATATAAAAAAAATAATTTTAATTTAAGTTTTTCGTTTTGGTATTTAAATTTATTGTTTAAAGCTGGGAAATTTGAAATAGGTACTTAAAAATATGTGTAATAAACAATGGTTTACCTACTTACGAATCGTAAGTTACGATACGTCCTATCCTGTCTGTTTATCAAAGTAAGGCCCCGGATAACATTCGTGATTTTCATACGAACATCATGTCGTGATTTTCACAAATTTTATTCATACTGATATCATACGGAAGTCACCGCGTGATAAATGAAAATCATACGAACGTCACGTCGTGATTTTCACAAATTTTATTCATACGGACATCATCCGGATGTCACTGCGTGAGAAATGAAAATCATGTCGTGATTTTTTATGCCATCGCTGTTTGCGATTGACCGATGGCCTAAAAAATCATGTCGTGATTTTTTATGCCAACGGTGTTTGGTTAATTATTTTTGCGCCACGTTCGTACACTAAGAGAAAAATTATATTGAATCAACAGTTTTTGCAGTTAAATACATTTAATATTTTCTTGGATTTAAATTAACTATATACATATTATGTATAGTTAATTTAAATCCAAGAAAATATTGAATGTATTTAACCACAAAAACTGTTGATTCAATATATATGTAGGTATACTTTTTCTCTCAATGTACGAATGTGGCGCAAAAATAAATATACAAACACCGATGGTATAAAAAATCACGACATGATTTTTTATGCTGTCGGTGTTTTGGCATAAAAAATCACGACATGATTTTTTATGCCATCGGTGCACCGACATGTTTGGATATTTATTTTTGCGCCACATTCGTACATTGTGAGAAAATGTATGTTAACAATTGAATTAACAGTTTTTACGGTTAAATACATTTAATATTTTCATGGATGTAAATTAACTATTAATTTAAATCCAAAAAAATATTGAATATATTTAACCACAAAAACTGTTGATTCAATATACATATATGTAGGTATACTTTTTCTCTCATTGTACGAATGTGGCGCAAAAATAAATATCCAAACACCGATGGCATAAAAAATCACGACATGATTTTTTATGCTAACGGTGTTTGGGCATAAAAAATCAGGACATGATTTTTTATGCCATCGGTGCACCGACATGTTTGGATATTTATTTTTGCGCCACATTCGTACATTGAAAGAAAAAGTATGTTAACAATTGAATTAACAGTTTTTGCGGTTATATACATTTAATATTTTCTTGGATGTAAATTAACTATTAATTTAAATCCAAAAAAATATTGAATGTATTTAACCACAAAAACTGTTGATTCAATATACATACAGGGTGTCCCATAATTAGCGTGCAATACTTTAACAGCAGATTCTACGTACAAAAATAAGAAAAGAAGTTCCTATAAACATAGGCCATGAAATGCTTTCTAATGGAACTACAGCCCCTAAATGAGGAGCCCCTGAAGATGGTTTTTATTTAATATATCCAAAACCGTTCAGGGTAGACAAGTAAAATTTTGGGAATTAATCAAACTTTTTATGGTCAATAAGATTTAATAATATCAATTCAAAATTTCCATGAGGGGTGGGTCAGATAGATAAGGAATAGGGGTTAAAACCACCCTAACTTTTTGTACGTATCTCATGCTAGGATTTGATGTCAGATTATGAAATTTCGGAATTTTACACACAAAAAAGGTCCTCTTCTTAAACTTTGATATTGTCCACTGTTTTCGCTTAAACTCCATTTAAAAATTACCTTACATAGCATAAAAGATCATAATGAATTCACAAGAGAGAAAAATTCAGAGTAGGCCATGGAACACAGCTGCCATCTTTAGGAAAAATTATTTAAGACAGGTGACAGTTTCATGTAATATGTGACAGGGTGTTTAAAAATTGTCCATGGCCTACGCTCTAGTTGTGATTTCATTTTTAATTTTTATGCTATGTAAGGTAATTTTTAAATCGATTTTAAACAAAAACGGTGCATGCTATCGAAGTTCATCAAGAGGACCTTTTTTGTGTGAAATTTTATGATCTGATATCAAATCATAGCACAAGATACGTACAAAAAGTTAGGGTAGTTTTACCCCTCACCCCTTATGATTTTTTTGAATTTGTTATTATTCCAACTTATTGACTATAAAAAGTTTGATTATATCCCAAAATTTCACTTTTCTATCTTAAACAGTTTTGGAGATATTAAATAAAAACCATCTTCAGGGGCTCCCCTTTCGGGGGCTGCAGCTCCCTTGGAAATCATTTCTCGACCTATTTTTATAGAAACTTTTTTTCTTATTTTTATACGTAGAATCTGCTGTTAAAGTATTGCACGCTAATTATGGGACACCCTGTATATGTAGGTATACTTTTTCTATCAATGTACGAATGTGGAGCAAAAATAAAAATTCAAACACCGATGGCATAAAAAATCACGACATGATTTTTTATGCCATCGGTGTTTCCCACTTGGCAAGAAATGTAACAGAAACCCTAAAAACGTTTTCGTACTGTTATATTTTAAACACTCAAATTTAAACGTTCCTGTTTTGTATTCTGAACGTAAGCATAATCATGCCAACAAGCTATACAATACATAAACGTTACTGTATCGTTTTACCTTTACCCTAACACATTTACGTTGTGATGACTCTAATTTTATAACGTTAGTGTATTGTTAATATATCTACGTTAATGAAACGGTATATATGCTAACTGTTAATCCTTAAACGTATAGGTATGCAACGCTAATTCATCAGCGTTATTGAATTGTTAATAAATTTACATTAACTAAACGGTACATAATTACTGTTGATTCCAAAACGAAAATATAACGTTATCCTGCCGTTCATTAAGAACGTTTCTAGAAGGTTAATAAATGTACATTTATTAAACGTTACATATTGATATTGAAAATTTAGAAGCAATGCGCAGCCGCCAAAAAACCAAGCCAATATGTCTGTTTGGCGTCACACGTGTTGGGCGTTTGTTTGTTTGTTCTTATTATTCATGGTTATTATTATTTAAACAGCACGCTTTTGCTTGGACAATGGAACAAAATAGAAAAAACATTGAGGTGAGTACCATTTACTCTTGTGTAATTGCTTAGGTATATTCCATTGCAAAACATTAATGTAAATCATACTTACAAAAAGGTGCACAAGTTTTAATGCTTTGTCGATCCTATTTTGCAAAAACAAAAATTCTTCGATTTTCTTTCCTAAAATATTTTGTTGGTGTCATATTTATTTTGAAACAATTAAACAATAATTATTATTAGAAATATGTAAATGAAAACCACACTGTTAAGAGGTTCCAAGGTCAAATGATGGACTGTCTGACCTGAGCTCATCTCCAGAGATAAACCACCAAGTGCAAGAAGGTAATACTTTAGAGAAATTTTATGAATATTACTGAAGTTTTCATAATTTCAGAGGCAAATCCAATAGAAGCGAATCTAGCTGAGGCAAATCCAGTTGATGCATAAGATGAATTCCCCATTATTATTGCATCTGATACCTATTGAAACTGTAAGTAAGTCCAGTTCCAATAGTAACTATTTATTTTTTAGTTGAGTCCCGCGTCATTAATTACTTAATAAATATTCAAACTATACAGAAACTGTTGCTAGACAAGATTAACAAACTGGAGCTTTCTGTAAACGTGCAGTATCCGCAGGAGGGAGTCGAAAATGTAGGACCTCAATTGCCATGCAACACATTGGAACAACTTAAACAACTGGAGAATGTTTTAACTGCGGAAGATAATTACAATAAATTGGTAACTCTTCTCAGAGCTGGGCCAAGTACAAGTAAAATGTACTTAAGTACCGAGTACAAAGTACTTTGTATAATTCCTGAAGAAGTACAAAGTACCAAGTACTATACAAATTTCAAAGTACTTTAAGTTCAGTACTGCAAGTACAGTACTCAGTACTTTATAATTGTATTTTAAGAGTACATGTCAACAAGACAAGACTCGCTGGTACCAAGACTTGGTAATAGTGAAGCTTTGGAAATACCAAAGTTTTGAAACGTAAACGTAAGTTAAGTTATAATTATGTATGGCGACAGCAAATTATAATAGGCCTTTGTCGGTGTACCCATATATATATATATATATATCATAAATAATAATCATAAAAGCATATGTTAGAGGATAATTTATTGTAGCAGTTTACTGATATATAAATTGCTGTTGCAGTCCAAAGCGACATACAATTTTTAAAACCGCGGAACTACACCTTTTTTTTAATTTTTTGGGTTTCCTGTAAATATGTATTATTATTTGGTTCCAGAATTCAATTATAAATTTATTTTATTTTTAATAAATTTGCGAGGTTGGCAGAGGAGCTAAAATAAGTAATTACAATTATTTGTTCGTGGATTACAATTTTTAGTGTATTCCATTTATAACAGATTTATATATTTGCATGGATCCCCTAGGGGCAAAGTGGTGGAAAAGAGGATAAAATAAAAAATATACATAATATATTACTAATACTATTATTCCCAAACTGTTAGTAATGATTGTTATAAAGTTAGTAAAGTATTACAAAAGTTGTTCTGGTTTTACAAAAAAGTGGCTAACTTTTATAGCAATTAATAACCATGTATAGAGAACTGTTTAGTAAATAGTACTAAAAAATCAAAATGGCCTCAAGTAATTAATGGATGCCCCCTAATTAATTACCACGAGTACTATTTGCAACTTCAAATAATATTTGCTATTGCTTGAAATATTCGACATATATTTTTAATTGCGAGTTGTATTTGGAGGACAATTTTATCGAACAA